ATGTTAATGTGAGAAATTAGAGGGCACGGAAGTGGCTATGTTAATGTGAGGGATTAGCATGATGTTAATGTGAGAAATTAGAGGGCACGGAAATGGCTATGTTAATGTGAGAGATTAGCATGTTGCTAATGTGAGAAATGAGCATGTAACTGTAGAAAAGAAGGCGAAGAAGATGGCCTCCTCGACCAGGGAGTGCAACCCAACGGGTGTAATCCAAAGGGCCTGTGAGCATGAGAGTGCAATCTAAAGGCATGAGAGTGCAATGCAACGGACATGTGAGCATGATAGAGCTAAAAGAGAGGCATAGAGAGAGACAGTCTAAATAACATAGGCAGCTGACAATGATTGCTCGGTTTGTACCCATCCTCTCGGTTGAAGTGGTGTCTGTATTAACCAGGTAAAGTCTTAACTGACAGTGTTTCCAACCAACCTGCCTATGTCAGCTGTTATTTCGACTCTTTGTCTCTCTCTCTCTCTCTATACCTCTCTTAGATCTCACATGCTCGCATGTCCGTTGCATTGCACTCTCATGCCTTTGGATTTCACTCTCATACTCACAGGCCCTTTGGATTACAGCCATTGGGTTGCACTCCCTTGTCGAGGAGGCCGCTCTTCTTCTTTTCTACAGTTACATGCTAATTTTTCACATGAACATTATGCTAATCTCTTACATTAACATAGCCACTCCCGTGCCCTCTAATTTCTCACATTAACATCATGCTAATCCCTCACATTAACATAGCCACTTCCGTGCCCTCGTCGAGGAGGCCGCTCTCCTAGCTTACAGTTACATGCTAAATTCTCACATTAACATCACTAGCCCCGGCCACTTCTTTATGACCCTTTAGCTACACCTATTTCAAACCTTTTAAAACAGTCTGCCTCAGCAGCAGACCATGCTTTCCCACCTGATGATGGATGCTTGTGTTGCGCCGACACGTCGTGATTTATTTTATACCTACGTGACTTTACCGAAAGAACCAAAGAGTATGAGTGTCATGTTGTTCAGCAGTCAGAATGACAGCAACTTCAAATGTTGTGAGTGCATTTAAGCGGCACTCTTGCTGACCATGTGGAGTTTAGTCAACAGGAATGACAGCATTGCACTCTGAAGTCATCTCCATGGCACACTTCATACTGTGAATATAAGAGTTTTCCTTATTTTGTATGTCTTGCAATAGGACTTACATCTTGGTGTTGATGACATTGTTGCAATGCTGGTGAGCCTGTCTAGTATTGTCAGACATGCAAGTAGATCTGTGGTAATGTAGGTAGAGCATTAGGTAGTGACAGCAGACTGCCAATGCGATTATGTACCTGGCCCTGCACTTTAAATGTGGGCATTTAGCCAGATGTTGGGATGAGTTGGTTCGTGCCAAAACATTTAATTTGGAAGCATGAGTTCTATCTTCTATTGTTTTTTAGAAATGGCTTGCATAGGTGTAGTGTTGGCAGGTATCAATACACGAATAGTCTAGAGACGGTTATTAATTTTAGGCAGCTGAACCATGGTACAGTTGCAGCATAGCCCTTGAGGGTCTCCTTTCCATGTCATTGCATGGCAGCAGCTGCAAGAAGTAGACATGGAACCAATGGCAACTAATGGATCAGAAGTGTGCATGAAGTGGGGAATGTAGGGAAAATAAAACTTTTCCTTTTGGCTGCAGGGTAGGCACCTGGTTGCAGCCATTGTAGTCCTGTTTGCAAGCTGCCTTGCTTGTTGGTGGCCTGGAGTTTGATTAATAAATTGATAAAATAAAATAACACAATAATATTCTCACGACGTTTCGGCCACAACACAAGCGGCCTTCATCAGGTGAAGGGACGAGACTCTGGTAGGACAGCGCTGGAGTGAAAAAAGCCACGTTCAGATCACGCGCCTTGACAAAGGAATTAGCATATAATTTAGCATTGAAATGGCCGAGTGATTAGCTTGTGACTGGTCACAGAAATGGCTATGTTAAAGTAAAAGCATACACATCCCCAGAGGCACCCCTTGACAAAGGAATTAGCATAGAATTTAGCATTGAAATAGGTAAGTGATTAGCTTGTAACTGGTCACAGAAATAGCTATGTTAAAGTCAGAGCATACACATTCACCGAGGCACTTAGTACAAATCAAACAGGATAATTTAGCATTGAAATAACTAGGCGAATTTAGCATTGAAATAACTGAGTGATTAGCTAGTGACTGGTCACAGAAATGGCTATGTTGAAGTCAAGGCCTACACATCTGAGCTATTCACAGTACTATATAGTGAACCAATAAAAAACTAAAATATAAATTACCTTAATGTTATCAATAAACTCTATATTCTCCAATCAGCTAAGCTACCAACAATAAGTCGTTATATATCACAATGCTATTTGGCGAAAAAATGGGTGGATTCTTACCCTCAACTTTAGCAACACGGATAGCTACGGGCCCCGTTCAGACGGACGAGTTCATCCATGGTAGGAACAGAGGAGGGGGAGAGACAGCTGCGAGGCGCTATTATACTCCATGTTGTAAACCATACCATTAACTGTGGTGTGAGAGGTATTAAGAGTCAATGCTGGCAAAAGAGCTGCGGTCTGAAGGTCATCGTAAAAAAACAATTAATTAAGAACAGAAATGGTTTAAAACATCTTTCCATTGGTTACTAAGCCAGAATCCATCTTCTCGGTTGAAATTGTCTCTGTGCTTGTATATGTGAATGGCCTCATGAACGAATCTCTCATGGTAGCCGGTTGGTTTGCAAAGAACCTCCGTCTTGAAGAAGTCAATGTCATGTGAGCCCACTGAATTATAACAGTGATCTGCCACGGCAGAGGAGTTCGTTCTACCGTGTTTCAAGTCTGCTTTATGTTCGCGGATGCGGTCCGAGATATGTCGTTTGGTTTCTCCAATGTAGCTACTACCACAGAGGCACTTTAGTTTGTAAACGCCCGGGTACTGTATGTCTGGAACAGCATCTTTTACAGATGGAACTAAATCACGGATTTTATGTACTGTGTTGAATCGGACCTGGATCTTGTGTTTATTCAAGATTTTGGAGATCTTTTTAGTGACCCCTGCAATGTAGGGTAAGGTGATGGTTTTGAGTGGCTCCACAAGAGGATCCTTCTTCATGACTGGAGTGATGGCTTTGCGGATTGTGTAGTCGGAGTAACCATTAGCCCTGAGAGCCTGGTGTACGTGCTAGAGTTCACTGGTAATGTGTTCTTGGTCGGAAATGCATTGGGCTCTATGGTATAGAGTCTTGATGAGGGAGTTCTTCTGGGATGGATGGTGGTGGGAATCCGGTTTCAAGTAAGCATCTGTATGGGTAGCTTTCCTGTAGACAGAGTGGCTCATTGACCTATCAGGTATCTTTTTTATTAGGACATCCAAAAAAGGTAGTTTGCCATCTTTTTCGACCTCCATGGTAAATCTGATGGCTGGGTGTATGGAATTGATGTGGTCGCAGAATTGGTCTAGAGCAGGCTGGCCATGTGGCCAGATGACAAAGGTTGTGTAGAAGGACAAGCGGATTTAGAAAGGAACGAACGAATGAAGCTGTGATTTTTCTTGGACACCGATATTACTCCTCTGTGGATGCAGAATATGAACTTATTTGAATGAACGTCTGTACTGGCTTCTGCATGCTCAAGCAGCATCTGTTAGTCCAGATATTAGGGGCTAAACAGGCATGGCATTAGCTAGAGAAGAGATTTAAGTATGTGGGGGTGATCGGACCTGCCTTTAACTGGTACCAGGCGTGTCAAGCTCGGCCTCTGTGGAGGAGTCCCATGAGGTATGCTGCAGAGCAGTTGGAGGTATTTGCTCTGCAACAACAATGAGGTCGGAGGAGCGATGCTCACATGAATGGGTGGAACGGTGGGTTCCTAAAACCCAGTAAGACCATGGGGAGCACAGCTGGTGCATCTGTCAAGTCATTCCTTGACACCTGGACCATTCCCATGACCTGCTGACAAGTGATCCACACTTACATGGCCTTAAATTTCACCTATCATGGCATGAGCACTGTGATGAATGGTTGCTGTTTTGTTTATATAATCTGTTAATGATCCATGTGAAATGTATGTATGTAACAGTGTGTCTATGTGACGCGCGGTTGCGCAGTTATATCACTGCTTTATGAACTCAATTAGAGTTTGATTATCGCCGACAGCAAACATGAATGATAAGTGAAAGCTGAACTTTATTGTGGGCCTCTGCTATGTTGATTGTTCAATTAATTACATGGTGAAGTGAGGAAGCATGAATACTGAGCAGAAGAAGGCAGCCAGCATGGTTCTGGACTACACCACCACCTTTTTACCATGCCAGTGTGTGACACTGTCAAGTTTGTATTTGCTGTAAAGTATATTAACTCGATTGAACACGGAGGTTAAATCAACAAAATATTTTTTTTTCCTCTGGAACTTTTAAAGAATGGAAATAGGAAAATAACAGCGCATATGCAGCTAAAGTTACATCTGTTTATCCGAGCATTCAAAAAATCTGAGATTGGCTTCACACCTCTAAGTTTAAATTGAACATTTACGCATTTCTGGATAACACAAATATTATTTTCAACACACTTTGCTTTGTTAGCTGAATTTAGCTTTTCTAATTATTGCTTTTGTAGCCAGACAGCCAAAATTGTGTGCTTTAAGTTTTGGGTTAACATTAATTTTGAAAATACTAGGGCTTCCAGACATATTCATGACCATTTGCCCTCTCATTGTGTGCCTTAACAGCCAGTGTGATGAATTGAATTGGGGAATCTTTTAACTATATCATGGATTTATGAATAAGTATATACGTGTAAGTCTTGTGTATAATATGCATTCCTCTGTGCCTCGATACTGACGTAGATGGTGTGGATATTTTTTTCTGTCTGCAGCTGACGCTTCCTCTGCAAAATTGTTTTGATGGAGCAATGGGACTCAGTGCAGCTCGGTACAAAAATGCAACAATGCGACCAGTATGCAAACACAACGGATCGTACTGGAAATTTGACACAGCACCAAAGAACTCACGCAGGAGAGAAACCCTTCAAATGCACTGTCTGTGAGAAGGCATTTGCATGGTCATCATTTCTTAAGATCCACCAGAGAATACACACAGGAGAGAAACCCTTCAAGTGCACTGTGTGTGAGAAGGCATTTGCACAGTCATCAGCTCTTCAGAGCCACCAGAGAACTCACACAGGAGAGAAACCATTCAAGTGCACTGTGTGTGGGAAGTCCTTTCCACAGTCACCACATCTTATAACACACCAGAGAACACACACAGGAGAGAAACCCTTCAAGTGCAGTGTGTGTGGGAATGCATTTTCAGATTCATCTACTCTTAAAACACACCAGAGAACTCACACAGGAGAGAAACCATTCAAGTGCACTGTGTGTGGGAAGGCGTTTACACAGTCATCAAATCTTAAAACACACCAGAGAACACACAGTCATCAGAAGAAGGAGTGGCATCTGAAATCGGCTTGTGAACGTAAAAGTGCTGCAACGAGCCTATCCCTCATCAAACAAGAACCAGAAGCAAATCCCAGCTTGGATACTTTTAAAGGAATCAAGGTGAAATATGAAGAAGTGAATTTGAAATTTGAAAAAGTGATAGTGAAGAGCGAAAAAGTGAAAGTTAAATGTGAAGATGAAGATTCAACTCCAAAATCTGACTTTCACATCGATGGAGGCAACGTGAAGCAAGAGGATAATTCTGACTTTGATCCAGAGCGAGGCAGCTCCCAGCAGTTTGTGGAAGTGGAGGTGTGGCTGGACTTCTTAGACAATGCAAGTCAAATGGAGACCCGGTAGATGTGTAAGCTTGAGACAATGATACTCCAATAGATATACCTTTTGTCACAGGCCTTTAATGAAAAGAACGTGAAGGTGAAACTCTATTCCTAGGTTCAACCTGCAGGGTAAGAGAGGCCAGAGTTTGTGAACCTGTGGGTTGGGTAGATCTATAACCAGGAGTGAGAGCCAATAAGCTCCCAAGCTTTAACATGTTATAATAATGTTTGCATTCATAAGGTGCTTAATTCCCTCTAACTCGGTGTTTTGTATCAAATCTTATCACAAATGCTTGAAGAGCCACCCCCAGGTAGCAGCTGCCTCTGTGTGGCACAAGGTGACCCTGCATGTGGGCATCAATCTAGTAGGGGGCGATAATTAACGTGTAATCTTCGTTGTGTAATTTTTGGATGTTTGGAATTACCCAAATCTTGACCATGACAGCAACATGCAATGACCTATGCGTTTTGAATGACACAATAGTATGTTTTACATCCACTGTCCAGCAGAAGGTGCAAATTTTGGTTAATGTTCCTGGAGTAGCCAGGGGTGCCTGTCGAATTTGAACCTTGAACCTCTGCAATAAAAAGAGAATGCGCTACCACTTGGCTTCCCTCAATCTGAGTGTTGGCATGCCAGCCTAAATGTTTCTAACTGGCGCAGATGTTCCATTTAGAGGGGTCTACGTTTCGCATGCTTGTAGAAGGGAGGGCATGACTGGCCGAGAAGACCCAAGCTTCGTGCGGAGCGACAGACCAGGTAGCTTCCACTCAGCATTGCGCAGCTGATGAAAAGAATGCCGCCCGACTGATTCAGACCACCCACACACAGTGTACGCACATACTCAGTGCAGACATGTATTGTACACACACACAGTGTATACACAATGTTCACGTGGTTGAGCTCACGCACTCAAGAGAGGGAGCAATGGAAAAGGAATCTAAATAAACTACAACTCTAACCCCGCTGACTCGCTCTGTGATGTCACAACTCCGCATTACTTCATCGGTGTGAGACGCGGGGACGACGTGTACCCCGATTAGTGACGTCATGTCACATGTCACCCCCCAATCTCTCCGCGCTCTTTAGCGTGACGTCACGTCTTCGTCACTGCTTACTTCCGTTCCAGTAAAATCCTTATTTGGGTAAAGCTACACCCAGTCTTCAGCAGCCACGCCGCATTACTCGACATGGGCTCGTCGTATTAACATAATTTATTCAATTTTGATTTAAAGCTTTCGTCACTGCAGTGATTCATTCTTGGTTCTTTCGGTAAAGTCACGTTGAAGGGAAACAATAAAATATATATAAAACAATAAAATTCTCACGACGTTTCGACTGTAACACAGTCATCATCAGGTGTGAAAACCAACGGCAAGAAACTTTTAAATGAAGTGGCATTTATTTATTTTTAAACATTAGCACCACGGATAGCGATTTGACAGTGTTTAGAAGGAAGAGTCCATCTATGTTCGGAAAAGAGGAGGGGGGAGACGATAAATTAATTTATGCTTGAAAGCCACCGTAAGCGTGAACAGTCAATTAAGACCCGAAATGGTTTATCAAATCCTTCCAATGATTGCTAAGCTAGAATCCATCTTCTCGGTTGAAATTGTCTCTGTGTTTGTATATGTGGATAGCCTCATGAACGAATCTCTCATGGTAGCCAGATGGCTTGCAAAGAACCTCTGTCTTGGAGAAGTCAATGTCATTTGAGCTTACTGAATAATAACAGTGATCTGCCACGGCCGAGGTGTTGGTCCTACCATGTTTAAGGCCTGCTTTGTGTTCACGAATGCGGTCTGAGACATGTCGTTTGGTTTCTCCAATGTAACTACTACCACAGAGGCAACTTAGTTTGTAGACACCAGGGTACTGTATGTCCGGAATCACATCTTTTACAGACGGAACCAGATCACGGATTTTATGTAATGTGTTGAAACGGACCTGGATCTTGTGTTTATTCAAGATTTTGGAGATCTTTTTTGTGATCCCCGCAATGTAGGGTAAAGTGATGTTTTTAAAGGCTCCTCAAGAGGGTCCTTCATGGTTTGAGTGATAGCTTTGCGGATTGTATAGTCGGAGTAACCATTCGCCTTAAAAGCTTGGTGTACGTGCTTGAGTTCACTGCCTATGTGTTCCTGGTCGGATATGCATTGGGCTCTATGGTGCAGAGTCTTGATGAGAGAATTCTTCTGTGATGGATGGTGGTGGGAATCCCGGTTTCAGATAAGCATCCGTATGGGTAGCTTTCCTGTAGACAGAGTGGCTCATTTACCCATCAGGTCTCTTTTTTATTAGGACATCCAAAAAAGGTAGCTTGCCATCTTTTTCGACTTCCATGGTAAATCTGATGGCTGGGTGTATGGAATTGATGTGGTCGAAGAATTGGTCTAGAGCAGGCCGGCCATGTGGCCAGATGACAAAAGTGTCATCCACGTACCTCTTCCATAAGGTTGGGCGTAGAGTGGCAGTCTGGATGGCGTCAGTCTCAAATTTCTCCATGAAAATGTTGGCTATAACCGGAGAGGAGGGGGGAGCCCATTGGGGTGCCCTCAATTTGTTTGTAGAAAGTTCCATTCCAAGTGAAGTATATATTGGGGAAGCAGTGTCTCACCAGGGGGGGTACCTCAAGGACTAAACACTGAGGTACCCCCCCTGGTGAGACACTGCTTACCCAATACATCACTTGGAATGGAACTTTCTACAAACAAACTGAGGGCACCCCAATGGGCTCCCCCCCTCTCTCCGGTTATAGCCAACATTTTCATGGAGAAATTTGAGACTGACGCCATCCAGACTGCCACTCTGCGCCGAACCTTATCGAAGAGGTACGTGGATGACACTTTCGTCATCTGGCCACATGGCCGGCCTGCTCTAGACCAATTCTTCGACCACATCAATTCCATACACCCAGCCATCAGATTTACCATGGAAGTCGAAAAAAATGGCAAGCTACCTTTTTTGGATGTCCTAATTAAAAAGAGACCTGATGGGTCAATGAGCCACTCTGTCTACAGGAAAGCTACCCATACGGATGCTTATCTGAAACCGGGATTCCCACCACCATCCATCACAGAAGAATTCTCTCATCAAGACTCTGCACCATAGAGCCCAATGCATATCCGACCAGGAACACATAGGCAGTGAACTCAAGCACGTACACCAAGCTCTTAAGGCTAATGGTTACTCCGACTATACAATCCGCAAAGCTATCACTCAAACCATGAAGAAGGACCCTCTTGAGGAGCCTTTAAAGACCATCACTTTACCCTACATTGTGGGGATTACAAAAAGATCTCCAAAGTCTTGAATAAACACAAGATCCAGGTCCGTTTCAACACATTACATAAAATCCTTGATCTGGTTCCGTCTGTAAAAGATGTGATTCCGGACATACAGTACCCTGGTGTCTACAAACTAAGTTGCCTCTGTGGTAGTAGTTACATTGGAGAAACCAAACGACATGTCTCGGACCGCATTCGTGAACACAAAGCAGACCTTAAACACGGTAGGACCAACACCTCGGCTGTGGCAGATCACTGTTATTATTCAGTAGGCTCAAATGACATTGACTTCTCCAAGACAGAGGTTCTTTGCCAACCATCTGGCTACCATGAGAGATTCGTTCATGAGGCTATCCACATATACAAACACAGAGACAATTTCAACCGAGAAGATGGATTCTGGCTTAGCAATCATTGGAAGTATTTGATAAACCATTTCGGGTCTTAATTTATTGTTCACGCTTACGGTGGCTTTCAGACAGCATACATTATTTTTTTGTCTCCCCCCTCCTCTTTTCCGAATGTAGATGGACTCTTCCTTCTAAACAAACTGTCAAATCGCTATCCGTGGTGCTAACGTTTAAAAATAAATCAATACAAACCGCAAATTCATTTAAAAGTTTCATGCCGTTGATTTTCACACCTGATGATGACTGTGTTACAGTCGAAACGTCGTGAGAATTTTATTGTTTTATATATTTTATTATTTTATTGTTTCCCTTCGACGTGACTTTACCGAAAGAACCAAGAAAAATGAAATATATTTTATTATTTTAAAATATATAACTTATATATGTTTTATTATTTTTTGTTTCCCTTCAACGTGACTTTACCGAAAGAACCAAGAATATAATTTATTCAGTTACACAGCCGTTCATGGGGGGGGGCCTGTTGTTCCCCGCAATTGACGTCATGTCACCGCCTGCGGCGTGACGTCACGAGATACCAGGAGGGCGCCGCTCTTTGCGCGCGCACTGAGATCCGAGGTGAGAAGTTCACATCGTGGTTGTTGTGGTGGTTGTTGTTGTCGTGGTGGTTGTTGTTTACACAGGTAGAGCCTCGCTCCTTCTCTCTCGTAGGGACATCAATTGAGTAGCAGCGAGTATGGAATCGATGTCCAGGTTGGAACATTACAACGCGGGGCCTAGCTATGCGGGGCCTTGCCTCCTGCCCTCGCCTGATCGCGTTTGCTTTAATTCTCTGCTTAAGTTTAATTTGTCTTCACCTGGCTCACTACTTTGAACCACATTTAAAAAAAAAATATTTCTACCCTTTTTATTTTACCAGGCAGAGCCCACTGAGCTCTTTTTTAAGAAGCGACCTGCCCACAACAAAGTGGCTTATCAACGTGTGGAAATGTACGTGGTGATGTTGACTCTTAATGTGCAGGGAAAAATCGGAGGATCCGGTGGAAAGTCCACGGGGAGAGAGACACGCACACTCCTGATTTACATCCATAATACAGGTTTGTTTGGGTTAGATCGCGTAAATATATAAATGTGTTGTTAAACCCGCCACCACCCGACACGGCGAACTAGTAAGTGTTGTCACGTTAACAGAACGTGGCCAATTCGTTACTAGTACAGCACACAGGTTGTGTATTGGAGAGCCAAGCCACAACATTTACAATCTGAGTACGACGTTTCGCCAGTAATTACAACTAGCTTCATCAGGCGACAGCCGAATGTGTGTATTTTGTCACGGTTTTTTGGTTGTTATACAATCGTAGGGCTTCTTTGCTTCAAAATGAGGACAGCTTTTAGATTCGTTACCCTTAGAGAGCTTCAGGATAGACAATGTGGGGTGTTTTGCCATCTGGTGGGTTTAATCGAATGAAGCTTAAATTTTGCCAGAAATTCAGTGGACATTGAAGAGCATAATGGGGTCGCTGTGTTTCAATTCTGTGTCGGGTATTATTCCTCAGTTATAAGACGATGCCTCAAGTGACATGTTATTCAGCAGTCGGAATGAAAGCGACTTAAGATGTTGATGACATTTCCGTAATGCTGGTGATCTTGTCTAGTATTGTCAGACATGCAAGTAGATCTGTGGTAATGTAGGTGGGTCATTAGGTAGTGGAAGCAGACTTCCAATGCGATTACGTACCTGGCCCTGCACTTTAAATGTGGGTGTGTACCCAGATGTTGGGATGAGTTGGTTGGTGCCAAAACATGTAATTTGGAAGCATGAGTTATATCTTTTATTGTTTCAGAAATGGCTTGCATAGGTGTAGTGTTGCCAGGTATCAATACATGAATAGGCTCGGGATGGTCATTAATTGTAGGCAGCTAAACCATGGTACAGTTGCAGCATAGCCCTGGAGGGTCTCCTTTCCATGTCATTGCATGGCAGCAGCTGCAAGAAGTAGACATGGAACCAATGGCAACTAATGGATCAGAAGTGTGCATGAAGTGAGGAATGTATGGAAAATAATAATTTTCCTTTTGACTGCAGGTTAGGAACCTGGTTGCAGCCATTGTAGTGATGTTAGAAAGCTGCCTTGATTGGTGGTGTACTGGAGTTTGATTAGCTGTGGCAGGAGCCATTTGTGCTGTGTTAGTTTTCTGTGTAGCTTATTGCTGTTGAGATGCATTCGCTATAGGTGTGGGCATAGCACGGGTCACATGTTGTCTTGCTTATTGCTGTACTGGAGTTTAATAAGCTGGAGAGGCAGTCATCGCAGCACTGGCAGTATGCTGTCTTTCCTTTTGGTGTTCAGGAGTGTCCTTATTAATAGGTGCAGCCATCACAGCACTAGCAGCATGCTGTCATGCTTCTAAGTGTTCAGGAGATTCATTATGAATAGCTGTTGCCATCGCAGCACTTGTACGAATGGCATCTATTATTGGTGAAGAGTAGCGCACGTTTTCCGTAAAGAACATAGGTGGTGGTAAAAGTTAGTAAGCAGAAAAAAGAGTAAATAGTGATTGTGTGAGTGAATGCTCTGGTGAGATTGTTAATAAAATGATAGTTGAATGTGTAATCATTTCATCATGGAACCATCTTTGCCATTACTAAAATATGAGAATAGGTTTTCCCCTTTTTTCTGGCAACAAAACAGGTGTTCAGATGTTAAAACACCAAACTGAAATCTTTTACGAGGAATCATGTCTGCATTAACCACAATACTTGTGGTCAGAATGCAAACAAAAAACGTACTTTGATAATATATGCATTGTCTTTGAAACTGATTGGTCCACAACAGGCAGCTTTCTTTTGAGCCTAGTCTCAAAATCGTTTTGAGACTAGCCATATAAATAAATTGCATTCATTACGGTTACAATGATATGCTAATCGATGCCTGGTTATAGTTAACGGATCGTTCCCTGCTGGTCAACCATGTTACATCTGCTGATGATCTGGTAATGGCTACTCAATGAGATGAAGTTAGGGAATCTTGTTTTGTGCCTGGATAATTCCATCATGAAATGGGGCCTTGTATATGTTCCACAAATAAATCACCTGTTTGGGAATTTCATGTCATAAAACATTGCACCTGCTCAACTCTCCGTGAATAATTAGGCAGTTCTACAAGTGGTGGAGGCGCTCCAATACCTGGTTAATGTGTTCAGGGCCAGCTTTGTTTTGGCAGCCAAAGTCACTTCAAATTATATTCTTGGTTCTTTCGGTAAAGTCACGTAGAATTTAAATAAAATAATGAAATAAAATAATAAAATTCTCACGACGTTTCGGTCACAACACAAGTGGCCTTCTTCAGGTGAAGAAACAGGTCAATCAAGAAAACAGAACTTGAATGAAACGCTGTCAAGCAAGGACCGCGTCTTTTGAAACTGTGTGGGCGGAGTTGAATTAGCATGTTACATGCATGTTACATCTGTGGGCGGAGTTGAATTAGCATGTTACATGCATGTTACATGCTAATTCAACTCCACCCACACAGTTTGAAAAGACGCGGTCCTTGCTTGACAGCGTTTCATTCAAGTTCTGTCTTCTTGATAGACCTGTTTCTTCACCTGAAGAAGGCCACTTGTGTTGTGGCCGAAACGTCGTGATAATTGTATTATTTTATTTCCATTCTACGTGACTTTACCGAAAGAACCAAGAAGATGAATATTGTTTCCCTTCTACGTGACTTTACCGAAAACCAAGAATATGAATCCTTGCAATCACGAAAGCTTTAAATCACTTCAAATTCGTCGAGCAGCATTCTTTCATTAGACTGTGTAACACTGTGGAAGCCGCCTGCACTTTTGCTTCATACAAACCTGTGAGTGTCCATCGCCAAGGTCTCGTCCGTCTGAGACCATCCCTCTCCCTTCTATACTAGCATCGCACCCGCCCCTCACCCTTCGTCCTGCGGATGGTGGGCGCACAGGATGGCACTATGTAGCCATTTCAGGCTGGGCCCGACCGGGTTACGTGGGTCACTCCGCCACAAGGCGCTTGTTGGCGAACTCAACCTCCGGGCCTGGCTCCTGGGGTGATATCAATCTATATATATAAGTCAAAAGTTGTGTGTGGGTTTGTGGCGGGGTTTGTGTATGGGTTTGTGGCGGTGTTTGTGTGTGGTCGCGCACTTGGCTCTCCAACAGTGGGCTTTACGTAAAAAAAAAAATAGCCAGGTACCGCGCCGTTAGCCCCGCGTTGAGCAAGCGCTATTCCTTTTTCACACCCGTCAACTTTAAATTAGTTTAATTAGCGAATTAGTGCTATTTTTGTGCGCTTTGCTTTTATTCATGACGCGTGTACGACCATACCAACTCACACGCCTTTGGTGGGGGGGATGGCCCAAGCCAAGTCGCACACCTTCGGTGGGAGTGAGGGGGACATTTTTTTTTCGTGTTAAAATCCTATAAAAATACACTAAACCCTCAGGTAAATTCTTCACTGTCTCATGTCGATGCGTGTAGTTATTACTACTTTACAGTCGGTAGATGCTACCACTATAGGCCGTAGATATTACTGCAGAGCGGCCTGGGGGGGAGGAGTCAGGGTTAATAGCCCAGCCCCAGCCTGCCAAGGTGCCACCTCGGCAGGCTGGACAATCTAGGCGAGGCCGGAGGCTCTGCACGTGACTAGGCCTCGCCACGCCACTCTGTCAGGTGAGTACTTTGTGCTATAGAGTCGATAAATACTGCTATGGAGTCAGCAAGTACTACTGTAGTGATAGCAGAGTGGAGAGTTTCCCATACCTCGGCAGTGTGCTTATGACCGGCTCCAGTTTAACAGCAGAGATCTCACTCCGAATCAGTCGAGCGGCAATATCTTTTCATCGGTTGCGTAACGCTGTGTGGAAGCTACCTGGTCTGTCGCTCCGCACTAAGCTTCAGGTCTTCTCGGCCACGGTCATTCTCTCCCTTCTCTACGCTTGCGAAACGTGGACCCCCCTAATGGAACATCTTCGCCGGTTAGAAACATTTAGGCTGGCCTGCCTACGATCCATCCTGGGATTAACCAGACTGGATTGTGTGAGGAGCTCACAAATCCTTGAAAGATCTGGGCAAGGTCCCATCGGTGAGCTCCTCCGGCGGGCAAGGCTGCGTTGGCTGGATCATGTAGCCCGCATGCCCAGCCACCGCATGCCGAAACAGCTTTTGTTCGGCCGGATCGAGGGGGCTAAACGGGCGCGGCACGGGCTAGAGAAGAGATGGAGTGATGTGGTACAGGAGGACGTGGAGCTGAGTGGACTTGCCGATGACTGGTACAAGCGGTGTCAAGATCGGCCTCTGTGGAGGAGGCTCGTGAAGGACGCTACTGGGCAGTTGGAGGTAGTCGCCCTCCAACAACAACGGAGGGCGGAGGAGCGACGCTCACAACAACGAGCGGGTGCGCCGGGTGGCTAAGGCACAGCAGGTTGACACAGTAGGGGGCACAGGTCGTGCATCAGCCAGTCATCTCGGTCATCTCAATCATTCGACCCGTGGCACCTGGGTCTGCCCCGTGATCTCCTGCCAGCGGGCGTTCAACACTTCACGTGGCCTCAAGGTGCACATGGCCTGGCACAAGCGTGGTGATGTCACCGCCACTTAGTGGCGAATGGCGGTTGTTGTTGATGTGGGGAGCGGTGGCGCAGTTATGTTACTGTGTTATGAACTCAACAATTATAGTTTGATTATCTCCGACAGCAAACATGATTTATAAGTGAAAGCTAAACTTTATTGTGGGCCTCTGCTATTTTGATTGATCCTCAGTTATTTACATGGTGAAGTGAGGAAGCATGAATACTGAGCAGATGAAGGCAGCCAGGCATGGTTCTGGACACACCACCTTTTTACCATGCCAGTGTGTGACAGTGTAAAGTTTGTTTTTTCTGTAAAGTATATTAACTCGATTGAACACGGAGGTTAAATCAAAACGATATATTTTTTTTTCCTCTGGAACTTTTTAAAGAATTGAAACAGGAAAATAACAGCACATGCAGCTGAAGTTACATCTGTTCCTCAGAGCATTCAAACAAATCTGAGCCTGGCTTCACACCTCTAAGTTGCAATTGCACATCAATTTATGCATTTCTGCATTACACACATAGTATTATTTTCAACACACTTTGCTGTGTTAGCTGAATTTAGCTTTTCTAAATATTGTTTTGTAGCCAGACAGCCGAAATTGTGTGCTTTAAGTTTTGGGTTAACATTAATTTTGAAGATACTAGGGCTTCCAGACATATGACCATTTGCTCTCTCATTGTGTGCCTTAACAGCCAGTGTGATGAATTGGGGAATCTTTAACTATATCATGAATACATGAATAAGTATAGACGTGTAAGTCATGTGTGACTAAGTATATATGCATTCCTCTGTGCCTCGATACTGACATAGATGGTGTGGATATTTTTTTTCTGTCTGCAGCTGACGCTTCCTCTGACGCTTCCTCTGCAAAATTGATCTCATGGAGCAAAGGCGCTCGGCACAGCTCGGTACAAAAAGAAAACAATGTGACCAGAATTTGAACACAACGGATCGTACTGGAAATGTGACACAGTACCAGGGAACTCAGACACGAGAGAAAACTTTCAAGTGCACTGTGTGCGAGAAGGCGTTTGCACGGTCATCACATCTTCAAAGACACCAGAGAGCACACACCGGAGAGAACCCCTTCAAGTGCAGTATGTGTGGGAAGGCATTTTCATGTTCATTTACTCTTAAACAACACCAGATAACACACACTGGAGAAAAACCATTCAAGTGCACTGTGTGTGAGAAGGCATTTACACGGTCATCAAATCTTCAGAGCCACCAGAGAACTCACACAGGAGAGAAACCATTCAAATGCACTTTATGCGGGAAGGCGTTTACACGGTCATCAGTTCTTCAGAGCCACCAGAGAACGCACACAGGAGAGAAACCCTTCAAATGCACTGTCTGTGAGAAGGCATTTGCATGGTCATCATTTCTTCAGATCCACCAGAGAACTCACACAGGAGAGAAACCCTTCAAGTGCACTGTGTGTGAAAAGGCATTTGCACAGTCATCAGCTCTTCAGACCCACCAGAGAACACACACAGGGGAGAAACCCTTCAAGTGCAGTTTGTGTGGGAAGGCATTTTCATCTTTATTTATTCTTAAACAACACCAGAGAACACATACAGGAGAGAAACCCTTCAAGTGCAGTGTGTGTGGGAAGGCATTTTCAGTTTCATCTAGTCTTAAACAACACCAGAGAACACATACAGGAGAGAAACCCTTCAAGTGCAGTGTGTGTGGGAATGCATTTTCATCTTCATCTACTTTTAAACAACACCAGAGAACACATACAGGAGAGAAACCCTTCAAGTGCAGTGTTTGTGGGAATGCATTTTCAGATTCATCTTCTCTTAAAAAACACCAGAGAACACACACAGGAGATAAACCCTTCGAGTGCAGTGTGTGTAGGAATGCATTTTCAGATTCATCTACTCTTAAAACACACCAGAGAACACATAGTCATCAGAAGGAGTTGAGTCTGAAATCGGCTTGTGAAAGTGCTGCAATGAGCCCATCCCTCATGAAACAAGAACCAGAAGCAAATCCTAGCTTGGACACTTTTAAAGGAATCAAGGTGAAATGTGAAGAGGTGAATTTGAAATTTGAAGAGGTGATAGTGAAGAGCGAAAAAGTGAAGGTTAAATGTGAAGATGAAGATTCAACTCCAAAATCTGACCTTCACATCGATGGAAGTAACGTGAAGCAGGAGGAGAATTCTGACTCTGATGCAGAGCGAGGCAACTCCCAGCAGTTTGTGGAAGTGGAGGTGTGGCTGGACTTCTTAGACAATACAAAGTCAAATGGAGACCAGGCAGATGTGCAAGCTTGAGGCACATGCCTTTCATGAAAAGAATGTGAAGTTGAACACTCAATTCCTAGGTTCAACCTGCAGAGTAAGAGCAGCCAGTATTTGTGGACCTGTGGGTTGGGTAGATCTCTAACCAGGAGCAAGAGCCAATAAGCTCCCAAGCATTCACTATGTTATAATAATATTTACATTTATATGGTGCTTGTTTCATTGCGTCAGTTACTCGGAGTTTTGTATAATATCTCATCACACACTCGAAGGGCGTCTCCAAGTAGCAGCTGCCCCTGTGTGGCATAAGGTGGCCCTGCATCAGCCTGCATGTGGGCATGAGTCTGTCAGTAGGGGGCGATGATTGATCTGTTATCTCAGTTGTGTAACACTGGTCTACAATTTTTTTAGACGACCTCTGCTTGAGAGATGAAATGTGCTGTTTATTATGGAGTTTTACGCGCTGATTCAAATGATAAAACAACTTATTGGCTACGGTTCCCAGGATATAGTTTTTACATTATACGTCTATGTATATTGTGTTGATTGTAGAGTTTTACTCATAAATTGTAAACCTCGGTCTTTTCATGTATTTATGGTTGCTTTATATGATCACATGCCACTTGTCTTGTTCATGTGACACTTAAAAAATCTGTAAAAAGGATATATGACTCTAATTATGAAACAAAACGCAAAACTATTATGTGTATAAAAGTACATAGTTTATTCTTCATTCAGTGTCTACTTGGTACTTCTTGGCTTGTCCCTTGTATTCATTAAATGGAGCATCTCTTGTCACTGTCCAGCAATAGTCTGCAAGCATTAATGGGCTCCATTTGCCCTGATACCGTTTCTCTATTGTTCCAATGTCCTTGTGAAATCGCTCGCCATTCTCATCGCTCACTGCTCCGCAATTTGGTGGGATAAAATCTAGATGAGTGCAAAAAATGTATCTTTAGTGACATGTTGCAACCAAGGATGTATGCCTTGAGGTTTTCTGCCAACTCCCTGTAGATGTCTGCCTTGTTTTTTCCGAGAATGTGTTGCCACTAACTGGAAGGCTTTTCATGCCTCTTTTCCTTGCCAAACAGTGCACTGTCAAATGCATCATCTCGAAGAAGTTCACGAATCTGAGGACCAACAAAGACACTTTCCTTTATCTTAGCTTCACTTAACCTTGGAAATTTTCCACGGAGGTACATGAAAGCTGCTTGCGTTTTATCCATGGCTTAGACAAAGTTCTTCATCAGATCCAGCTTGATGTGTACGGGTGGTAACAAAATCTTCCTTGATTCAACAAGTGGTGGATGCTGAACACGTCCTCCCAGGCTCCAATGTAGTGGGAATCTCTCGCATGACTATCCCATTCACAGAGAAAACAGAAATACTTTGTGTATCCAGTCTGTAGACCAAACAAGAGAGCAACAACCTTCAAATCGCCACAAAGCTGCCACTGATGTTGGTCATAGTTTATGGACCTCAAAAGTTGTTTCATGTTATAGGTTTCCTTCATATGGACTGCATGACCAACTGGAATTGATGGCAAAACATTGCCATTATGCAGCAAAATAGCTTTAAGACTCATCTTCGATTAATCAATCTCCACTCAACTGGAGGGCTGCCATCACACCATCGATGTTGTTGCAGGCTACAAGGTCACCTTCCATGAAGAAGAATGGGGCAAGATCCTTTTGACGGTCGTGAACATGGAAACCCTAACATCACCTGCCAGGAGATTCCACTGCTGCAGTCTGGAGCCCAACAGCTCTGCCTTTTGGGTAGTTCCAAATCCCTGAAAAGGTCTTTCAGTTCACCTTGTGTTATGAGGTGTGGTTCAGAAGAGGAGGATGAGAGAAATTTTGGGCCATGTAACCTTGATTGTTCAGGACCAGAAGTTTCATCCTCTTTCTCATCTGACTCAAGTGAGTGATTCTGGTGCATCAGGAACTGGCAGTCCTCCGTGGGGTACTGGGCGTATAGCTGATGGAATATTTGGATAATGCACAGTTCACCGTTTATTCTTTGACACACCTGTCCCAACTGGAGGTTCAGATTGCATCATTCATTGTTTTGCTCAAAAAGCTCGAATAAGGCAGACACACACATGGACAAACACAGACATCGACCCACACACAGACATTGACCCACACATAGAAACACATGGACTTACACACACATGGACTTTAGACACGCATGTAGTTACACAAATCGACTGACACAGTTACACATATCGACTCGCAGACATCCCTGTTGCACCCGAAGGTGTAAAGGGAATGGCTTTGACTCACGGCCACGTAGTTTGACGCGGGGCCGCTCACCATCATGAAGGTCCTTAAGGATCGTGATCAGAGGGTCAGGTACTCCGAAAGCACGAAGAACAACCCAGAGGCCAGGCCTACTGATGGTATCATAGGCCTTGACAAGGTCAATAACGCACACACATGGACTCGGACAAACAGGGACCAACAGACACGCAAAGAAATGGACTTACACTAACTAACATGGAGCCACGCACACACAGCAACTAACACGCACATGGACTGACACACATCGACTCACAAACACATGGATTTACTCAAACACGCATAGGCATCCACTTGAGATACACACATGGAGTTACAAGAACAACCACTATTCGCCACTAAGTGGCGGTGACGTCACCACGACGCTTGTGCCAGGCCATGTGCACCTTGAGGCCACGTGCAGTGTCGAACGCCCGCTGGCAGGAGGTCACAGAGTAGACCCAAGTGCCACGGGTCGACTGACTGAGATGACTGGCTGATGCACCACCTGTGCCCCCTACAGTGCCAACCTGCTGTGCTTTAGCCACCCGGCGCTCCGCTGGTTGTGAGCGTCACTCCTCCGCCCTCCGTTGTTGGAGGGCGACTGCCTCCAACTGCCCCGTAGCATCCTTCACGAGCCTCCTCCAGAGAGGCCGATCTTGACACCGCTGGTACCATTCATCGGCCAGTCCACTCAGCTCCACGTTCTCCTGTACCACATCACTCCATCTCTTCTCTAGCCCGTGCCGCGCCCGTTTAGCCCCCTCGATCTAGCCGAACAAAAGCTGTTTCGGCATGTGGTCGCTGGGCATGCGGGCTACATGACCCAGCCAACGCAGCCTTGCCTGCCGGAGGAGCTCACCGATGGGACCTTGCCCAGATCTTTCAAGGATTTGTGAGCTCACACAATCCAGCCTGGTTAAACCCAGGATGGATCGTAGGCAGGCTAGCCTAAATGTTTCTAACCGGCGAAGATGTTTCATTAAGGGGGTCCACATTTCGCAAGCGTAGAGAAGGGAGGGAATGACCGTGGCCAAGAAGACCTGAAGCTTAGTGCGGAGCGACAAACCAGGAAGCTTCCACACAGCGTTACGCAACTGATGAAAAGATATTGCCGCTCGACTGGTTCGGAGTGAGACCTCTGCTGTTAAACTGGAGCCGGTCATAAGCACACTGCCCAGGTATGGGAAACTCTCCACTCTCTCTACAACTGCCCCATCACCGATTATGAGTTGTGGGGGTGAAGTGTCCGATGGTACAAAATACCCAAGCAGGTGCTTAGTTTCGGTGGGGCTGATAGTAGTGGCATGCTCCAGTCTCAACAGCAGCGTCTCCAACTCCACTGAATGAGCAGCTTTTACCAAATCATCGGCATGCATAACGTGGTTGAGTAATAGGGAGCATCCCTTGACCGCACCCGGGCATCGATCAGCCTCCCATTATATCTGTACCAATTGAGATCCCCCGGTACAGCTATTGAAGGCTTCACGAACTATGTGGTCAAAATATATGTAAAATAATGTGGGAGCCAGAGGACATCCCTGTCGCACCCCAAGGTGTACAGGGAATGGCTCTGACTCCTGGCCACGTAGTTTTACCCGGGCCCGCTCACCGTCATGAAGGTCATTAATGATGGTGAGCAGAGGGTCAGGGACTCCAAAGCACGAAGAACAACCCAGAGCCCAGGCCTACTGATGGTATCGTAGGCCTTGACCAGGTCAATAAAGCAGAGATGTAGGTCTTGCTGGAATTCCCTACACCTCTGCTGTAGCAGACGGATAGAAAATATGGCATCTGTGCAGGACCGTGTTGTATATGGGCCTTTTTCCACAATTGATAATAAGATTTGCCGATATTTTTAAATATAAATAAATAAACATCCTCAAACCGACAGAACCAACACCCAGAATAAGCAGCTGAAAGTCGTAAAAGGCCATTAAATGAACTCCGGGGCAAAGGGGGGTTAACGACTATCTGCAAAATCTCCAGATTGCCAAAGAACAATTCACAAACAAATACCCAGAATCACAGACACGGACACAGCACAGGGCAAACGAACCTTATAACTGATGTTTTTTTTTGTACGGAAAAGTTGAGGCTATAACAATAGGCGAACATTATAGACTGCAGTATTCCTTATATTATTTCTTATTGTATCTTTCTATCTACGTGACTTTACCAAGAGAACCAAAGTACATGAGTTCCTGCAATCACGAAAGCTTACGTCCAAACTAAGCTATATATCCAACCTCCGGATATCGGAAATAACTCGCAAATAAACACCGACCCATGGCGACACAGACTGAGAGCAAAGCTTAGCAAAGCCCGGAATCATGGTGGTAACATCTAAAAGCACGGATCCCTGGATGCAGACAGGGAGAAAAAAGTAATAAAACCCTTGAAATACCGGAGGTAACATCTAATGACATTACAAATCTTGGTTAAACATAAATCAAATAATAATCACAAGAGATTAGGTACAAGAAATAGGTCAAACACACAAAGACCAGATAAATGTATTCCATTAAATCAGAGCCTCCCCGGCCGCCTTTGTCTTCCAACGGTTTGACACAAACACATGGCGGCCATAAAATACGCATGAAGGGAGAGTGCCTCCCCTCCCTAATAGGAGAAACCACGAAGAGAGGGGTGGGGAATGCAAACAAACAAAATGTGATGGTAAAACAGTCAGTCAAAGGTAAAAAAGGGGGGGAGGGCAGCCAGACCGCTGCTGCCACGGGAGGAGGACGGTGACAGAGGGCATCTGTTTTTTTTCCCTCGCAAGAGACGCGGAGAGTGGAGAGATAATTTCACATTTAAGCTCGTCAATTCAGCTCACAGCCCAGTCGCAGGAGACGGCGACCTTCAGCTCAGAAGAGGACAGCAAGCCAGCCCCCGGGCATGGCATTGAGATCAACAATGCGTGTGGTGCATCGCAGAGAAGAGGGGCGAGGTGATGTTAGGTGTTGAGTTCGGCATGGGTAGACAGAGTATCGCTGAAAGTATTCTCAGCGTCAAGCAATCCACCTCGAGAAAGGGCGGAAAGCGTCAAGCATCGACCAAGCGAGCATCGCAGAGGACCAACCGCAGCAAACAAGCGTTGTGGCGACTCGAGCAAGAATATCAGCTGCCAGAGCACATGCGCGATCGCGCATCTTCAAGGAGAGAGCATCGTGCCGACACAGCCCATCATCCAGCGGCGGAGAGAACCTTCAGCCAACGTCCGACGCCGAGCGATAGAGGGAACCAGCCGTTGTTCATATACCCCTCCCCCACCCTCACAAACCCATGACGCTCCCGACGTCTGCTCACACGAGAATTTGCCAAAGACACAATCCACCGCACCCACACAATATTTAGACTAATTATAAAAGTGCATTAAATATCAACTGATAATGAAGAACATTGCTGCCCATTGAGTTACGTGGATAAGGTCATTTAGAAGCATCTTAGTCGTTAGTTTTTTTTCTATTCTTTTTAATTGCATAATCTTGCCAATGAATCTATTGACGTATACTTTG